TTTTTTTTTTTTGTGAATGGTGGGATTTTCTTGTTGTTTTCGGATAATTGGTGTGGTTCGGTACAATAATGTGTCATATAGTGGGTTTTTTTTTTTGTAAATGGTGGAATTTATTTTTGAAAAAAGATAATTTATTTTACAATGATAATTGTCCAACTAGACACGTTAATTAACTATCTTCGAAGTATATAATAATAAATTAAAATATGCTACTCAATGTGAAGAATGAATATAATAAAAAGTTAATTCAAACCCCATAAATTGTGGGTTTCATGTAATTTCCAATTATATGTTTATTAATTGATTGGTTTATTTATTGATTTTTTTATATATAAAATAATATAATTTATTAATAATCATAATTACTACTTTTACATTATACATGTAAAATTCATTAAAAAAATTTACATAGGTCCCATTGCTGTAACATATAGATTGACTTTAATCGGCATATCTTATCATGCTTTTTCTAATATTCTGAGGCTATGTACACTTGAATATGTCAACAGTACTTCAGCTTAGCTATGATGACTTGATAATTCATAAAGAAATGAAAACTTTTTATTTATATACATAAATAACAAAATAAAACATAAACTTTTCTCTTGTCTCTTTATTACTCAATTTCTTTTCTTTTACATATATATGATCTTGGATTACATAATTTATAATAAATAACTTGATATATAGTATTAAAGATTAAGTATTAGCGTATGATATTGTTAACCCTAACAGCCGTTGCCATGTGCAATGGGTGCATTCAAATGTCCTACTCCATCAAAGCTTCAGTTCGCAGTCCTTTACCTAGCTTTAGCACTAGCTTCACTTGGTGTCGTGGGCACACGTTTTACAATTCCAACCATGGGAGCTGATCAATTTGACAATGCCAAAGATCAAGGGATATTTTTCAATTGGTCTTTTTTGGCATTATACGTTGCCATTTGTGTTAGCTTAACAGCTATCATCTACATTCAAGACAATGTGAGTTAGGATTTAGCAGTCGGGATTTGCACAGTTGTGAATGCTACTAGTTTGGTACTCTTTTTATCAAGAAAACAATTTTACCGACGCATCAAACCTAAGGGAAGCCCATTCCTTAGCATTCTGTGTGTAATATTTGTAGCGATTCAGAAGAGAAATGCATCAGGCACTTTCGACACTCGAGATTATTATTATGGAAGTGTTGAGAAGACAAATATCTTTAACAATGGTCCAAGTAAAAGTTTAAGATACTACCCTTTCCATTTCAAATATAAATCGAAGAACTTGACAAGCACTTGCTAGGATCTTTGATCATGCACTTGCATGAGAGTGAAAATAGTCAATCGAGTCGTTCCAATGCAGGACCATGGAAGCTATGCACAGTGGAAGAAGTGGAAGACCTCAAAACCCTACTCAAGATCATGCCATTATGGTCAAGTAGCATTCTCTTAAGTACCACCATAGGCGTGGTTAACAGCTTGGCCGTCGTCCAAGTTCTAACCATGGATCGACACCTCGGACCACACTTCAAAATCCCAGCAAGTTCTTTCATAATGTTTAACCTACTTGCCACAGCTCTCTCAATTTTTATCATTGACCGTTTCCTCCACCCAGCATGGCAAAAGTTCATCCCTATTTGGCCTTTGACACCCCTTCGACTAATTGGGATTGGCCATGTCATCAATATACTTGCCATGATGGGGTTTGCCCTAATCGAAATGAGGCGTCTCCATGTGGTCCGGACACATCAGCAGCTCACCAATCAATCTGACTATGTGGTACCCATTTCCGGTCTATGGCTTGTTGTGCCACTAACAATTTTAGGTATTGGTGAGGGATTTCACTTCCCTGGACAAATTGCATTGTACTACCAAGAATTTCCGAAGTCACTGAAAGGTACTTCCACGGCAATGATATCGTTACTAATTGCAATGGGACTTTATTTAAGTACCATTATCACGGATTTAGTTCGTAAAACAACAGAGTGGTTGCCGGATAACATTAACAATGGAAGATTGGATAATGTATTTTGGATGTTGGCAGTAATTGGAGTGGTGAACTTAGGATATTATTTAGTTTGTGCAAAGTTGTTCAAGTATCAAAATCTAGATAAATCTAATCACTCTGGTAGTCATGTTCACTAGAAGGAGAATTTCTCTTCTTTGGGATAACTGTGCTTGTTTGGATTTTGTATAATAAATTTTCATGTTTGTTACCAATTTGGATGTAATTTCCAAGTTCTTTTACTTTGGATAATTGTGCTTGTTTGGAATTTGTATAATAAATTTCCATGCTTGATGTGAATTTGGTTGTAATTTCCAAGTTTACTATATGAATTGGATATGAATATAATAAATTTATTCCAATCTTCCATAACCACTTTTAAAATCTTCCATTTGTGTTTATGACAAGTCATTAATTTAGATGGTCAACTTGACTTTTCTTTTGATTCCTTTATTGCCTAATCCTTTCCAATTAGCTCATAAGAAAGTAAAATAAGAGATTATTAATCCTAACAATGAACTAAAAATATAATACAATCATTTTATGTTCATTATTTAAAGTTTATATATATATGTTTTCGTGCGCACGTAAAATTTATTTTAAAAAAACATAAGATATTATGTCATATGGACTGAACACCACACTTTGAGAAGAGTAATTACAATATTGTAGCCCCAAGGATGAAGATTCATCCTACTCATGCCACCAACATTACAAACCCAATATACAAAGCCTTGTGGACACAACATATTACTACTATAGCAACAAATTTCCCATGTGACCTTCAACACGTCAAACTATAACAAACCACACTCACTACAACAAGAATGTGCCATAATCACGCATACACTAGAATCACGATTTATTATAAACAACCAGCAACTCCTTAGTACACCATACTCCACCTAGGAATGGTGACTTAAAGATATCTATGCTCAAACTTTCGAGCCCAAACGTGCTTTCCCTTGATTGAGTACTTGGCTTTGGGTACGCCATTCAAAATGGTGTCAAGGCTAGAAGCAGAATGCAAAACCAACTTTGCAAACAATGGCTGCTCTCCAATTGGGACTTCTTGCATCTCAACTCTTTCAATGAAATTATCCCCAAATTTTCTACTTGCACAATCACAAGCAAAAGCAATTACAAAAACTAAATACATAATATAGTTCATATTGAAAAACATTAATCAAGATTATGTATAGATCAATTTGCAAATAACAAGATTGAAAATTAAGAAAAAAGTTAAGTACCTAGTGAAGAAATCTGTTACGTCTTTCTCTGATATAGGGTATCCTTTAGAAAATGTTAAGAAAATAGTTCTATCCTCTGCTGGGACTTCTTGATTATTATTATTATTATTATTATTCGCTTCCCAACCCTTAATGTCAATGGAGTGTATGTTATTCAACAGTTCCTCCATTTCCTCATCCACAGACTGTTTTTGAGTCTTGATATTATAAGGATCAACTTCTTGGACAAAACTCAAATTGCCTGAATTCCAAAGGGGCCAGAAAACTCGCTTATTTCCCATGTTTTGATCACCAAAGATTCCAAACTCAGAGTTATAGTTGTTGAATACAGGCAAAGTTGGCCTAGTCAATGGACAATTAAACCTTGATGCCTCCAAACTTTGTTCAACTCTGTGTTGGGCAGCCATTGAATTAATAGTCGATGCCTGCTGCAATATATCTCCAAAGGCTCGAAAACAAACATCCTGAATATTTTGAATAATATCAGGCACAATACGAAGACGATTATGATGAAAGAAATGAAGAGAGGCCCAATTTTTTGTCAATCCTTGAATCAAAGGAATGAGATAGTTGGAGTCTTTGAAATTATTGAACGGGAACTCATCACTCTTTATACAATTCAAACAAAGGACAGCCTCTTTAGCCAATGCATTGATCAGAGTATCAGACCAGGGTTGAATACTGGAAACCAAGTTTCGAGCAGGGTTATCGCCATGTTCAACCCAAAGGAGGAAAGACATCACGTGAATGGACTCGCCTATATCACGTCGAAGGTTCCGAACAAGCCTGGCGAAGATGTTTCGATCAATGGTATGAAACGCATTAATTTCTTCTTGGGAAACCATTTGAGTCTCCCAAGAAGTAGATGAAGAGGAAGCAACCATTGTGTGTGGGAGGAAATAAGAAAATTTTGATTATTATCAGAAGTTGGTTTTCAAGATTTTATAGAAAGGAAAGGGTGCCATTGAAGGAAGGTTTCATCATGATTAGCTGTAAGAGTCGTGGCTTTTCAAAAATCCAAAAACTTTCGAAGAAGTGTTGCTTTTCGTAAAAAACTTTTGAAGAGGTATTATTTTGAATTTTGATAAAAATAACAAATTTGAATGAATTTCTTTATTAAGAATTTCGAAGCAACGGTAGAATTTTAGGTAAATTTTGTTTGATTTAAAGGAAAAATCAAAATTCATCAAGATTATTTGGAATAAAATGTTACCAAACTCAATTTCTCATGCAAAAATAATACTAACCAAAAACAAACAAAGTAAGATTGTTCTCCTGAGATTCTTCTTTGCTACCGAGTAAATTGGTTATTTGCTCATTTTCAAATATCTTCTAACATGTATTGCAAGTTTCCAGGTCTAGAATCATAAACGCTGCCTGTGGTTCTCCATGTCCTCATGTTATAAGACCTAGTATAGGCACGGGTACTGGGTTTTATTTTGTTAATGTATTACATCTGTTAAAGAGTCTAGACAAGCAACGTCGTGTCTACTGTATTCGCAAATATGGGATTTGTTACTTTCGCACAACATGATGATGTTCTTTTAAATGTTTTCTCTCTTGTAGGGCTGACATATTTGGTGTTTCAGTGTGTAAAAACTGAAAAGTTTTCAGTTCTTGGTGGTCTAAACCAAAAGTTTGTTAACGTCATTTCAGTTAAGTACTAAATATTGCAGAAAATAAACTTCCATGTCTCTCCCAGTGTGCAAATCTTATTAATGCATGAATTAATTTAGGGTATCCACCAGGTCTGCTCTCTCCCTCTCTCTGGAATCAGGTTCAAATGGATATAAATATATGGTTTGCGTCCTATAAACAGTTGTCTGTCAGGATGATTCTGGATTAATTCGGAACAGATTTCAATTGGGGATGAAAGATTTCTGTACAAATGTGAGATGTGCGTCCCATCAATTGGCATGAAGCATGGCCACAACTTTTTGTCTTTGATAAGTTTTTCCAGAAGCAAACCAGTAGTTTTTTACTCAAACCATGCACATCTTCTCCTTTCTCAGATTTTTTTTTTCTTGAATTCTCTAAAGATGAAAATGAAGTAAAATATATTGTTGATGGATATGTTCCTTGTTTCAGGGTCCTGGTGCTTTCATAATTAAGTGCAAGTGACTGCTGTTTCATGGTCGTGTTCCAGTATGGGTCCATTGTGTTATTTAATGTTTGTGAACATGAAGTGGATGAGTATCTGAAACTTGTTGAAAAGCATGCATCGGGATTTCTTCCAGAAATTGGAAAGGATGGTGAGTTCTTATGTCCTTATTGAATTTATCTTTTAAACCACCATCTTATGCTAGATAGACCACTATCTTATGCTCCCTATCTAGACTTGTTATGAGTAGAGATCTAACATTTTGAGACTGTAAAGTTGGGAACTAACGTGATTTTATTAATACAACACTAAATAATGTGCTCATGCACTTAAATTCTGTAATAGTGCACAAATTCCCTTCATAATCCATCAAGTCAAGATCATCGGTGCAATTTTGTCGACAGAAGGGCATTTAATAATGCTCGAAACAAAAAAATTTTACACCTTGGAGATAGACTTTATGGACCAAATGTCATTTTCTCCTTTCTTTCTCCTGTCTCTTAGAATGGTTCTGTTTACCTCTTTCTTCTTATTCTTTCTCTTTCTTTTGCTGGCCGTTTTCGTAGCTTGTTATGTTGTTGCGAACAAGGAAGAAGGTTCTTCCTATGAAGGATTGTCTTAAAGCAATGGAAAACCATGGCTTTCCTAAGGAATAGGGGACCACGTAAGGTACTGCATCATATGAGTTTTTGTATATTTGGAGGTAAGAGAGAAGCCAACTTTAAGCACATGGATGCAAGGCGGATTAGATTACATTATGTTGCAGTTCTTAAAAATTGGTGGAATCCGTACCATTGGAAGTGTTCTTGGTCAACGTGTTGCTCTTCACTACTATATAAGTGCGCCTGGTGTGTAGCATTCGATCTCCAATGTCTATTTTCTGAGCATTTAAGTTGATAATGATGCTCAAAACTTTTTCTTTATATCTTAGGTTGATGGAGTGGTTGGGGAATTTACAGGACATTAACCTTGGGATGGAAAAGACGGGAACATTTACTATGGACAGCTAAAACTATTGGTTATCTCATTCATAAATACCTTA